CATATTCCAAGCCCTAAAAGAAAACAGCCTCCAACCCAGATTGATGTATCCTGCAAAACTATCTTTCAAAATTGATGGAGAAATAAGATACTTTCGTGACAAGGAGGCTGAGGCAGGAGGATAACACCAAGTTCAAGGCTACCCTGGGCTACATAGTCAATTCAAGGCCAGCTTAGGCTACATAGCAACACTCTGTCTCAAAAAAACAAACACACACAAAAAAAATCAAGAAGCAAACCACAAATTAGTCAGAGATAGGGAAGTAAAATAACTAAGAGTCTTTGACTCAAATTGCACCTAGCCAGAGAAAGGAAAAGAATTTCTGACTCTCCATTCCTTTTCTTAATTGTAAAATAATGACACTTTATTTAATACTTTAAAAATCCAATCAAGGGCCAGGGATTTAGCTCAGTGGCACCATGCATGCCGCTCAAGCGCAAGGTCCCGAGTTCAATCCCCAATACCAAAAAAAAAAGATCCAATCAAAGCAAACCAATGATGCCTAATCCTGCCAATTTTAAGGAAATTAGGGTTATGAACTCCAAGTCACCCAAATACAACTGATGATGAGATCATTAAATCAAGTATTTATGTATACTGTATACTAAATCACAGCTGAAAATATTCATGAAGCAAAAAACAAGAGACGTCTATCCCAAGCAAGCATTTTGTCTGATTGCACATCATCAAGAAGTGTCAAGCTCCACTTCATTAAAAATACTATTTTGGCACCAGTAGTGTGGCAAACATTTAGGATTCTCCTTCAAATAACTGGATGAAAATATGCAATACATTCAGGGGTGAAGGTGAACCAAAACATATCTTTCTGTTCAGGAGAAGAATTTCTTCATTCCATTAGAGCATAACATATTAAAAGGGGAAGTCATGAGTCTCTTCTAAGAGTTTTAAACAGTTGTAAATATAAAAAGAACATTTCTTCAATAAATAAATGGTTCCTAAAGTCTTTACACAGGAGCTCCAGAATCTTCCTTCATCATTATCCAGGCCAGCTCCATTCCCTCAAGAGGCTTTAGCAGCCAGTGGAATGGGATATTTTCTGTTTTTCTACCATGCAGACTTTCATCAGTATGTCTCTTCATAGTCTGAATCCTAGAGAGGAAAGAAAGTAGGTGTGGTGTATATGTGAAGTACAATGTCACAGTCTGAATTTAGGCAAAGACATACATTTGCCTGCTCTGGATAGAACTTGGCTTGGGGTGACAACAGTGAAATGCCACTGACCCAACACACCTAAATTCCTGGGAAGCATCACAGGACCTCAATACCATGTGTCTATAGGGATAATTTCTGTTTTGCAGCCCTAATTGTTTCCTTTTCCTTGGTGAATATTTTTTTAAAGCCTCAACACACAAGAAAAGTCCTGCCTACCTCTGAATGTTTAGGACAGTTCAGGAGTTTGGGATGGGAATCTGTCTTAGTCATTTTCCTCATCACTAGGACAAAATACCTGACACTCACAACTCAAAGGAGGAGAAGTTTATTTTGGCTCACATTTCAGTCCACAGTCAGCTGGCTGCCAAGAAGAAACAGTATAGCAGAGGGTCATGGCAGGAGAAAAGCTGCTCACATCATGGCAGCCAGGAAGCAGGGATCAAAGGGAGGACCTGGGGAAAGAGATGTACCTTACCAGGTCACACCCTAAGCGTAATGGTTTGTGTCTAGATGTCCTCCCCAAAGTTTAATGTGGTCATAGGTGAGGCTTTGTCAAGGGTGGCTGGATCTAGGGTGTGTAACCCTGGAATTGATTCATGGTGCAATGCTAGGATCAAGGGCACTAGGATTAAGGGTGTGAGTGCTACCCACCTAAGTACCCTGGATAAGACATAAGGGATAGAAAGAGCTGTGGGCATCCCTTGCTTGCTTTGCTACCTTCTTCCTGCCATGAACTGTTGCTCTTCTGTGATGCCTGTCTACCATGCCACCCTGCCTTGGAGCCAGCTGATTATGGACTAAATCCTCTACAAACTGTGAGCTAAATAAATCTTTCCTCCTTTAACTCTGGGTATTTTATCTCAGCAATGAGAGAAGTAACTAAGACACCAAGTGATCCACTTCTTCAGACCAGGCCCCACCTCCTAACATCACATTTAGCTATAGCACCCCCATGATTCAGTCACCTTTCAGAAGTCTTGCCTATGAGTACATGAGGCTTTGGGGAGATATCTAGATGTAAACCATAACAGAGCCAGTCTACCTACCATGCTGTGTTTTTTTGTTGTCCCCATGCCAACCATGAACCCTCCCCAGAGCCCATATAATTTCCACTTCCTGAAACGCTCCCCACAATAGCTATATAGTTTGCCATCTACATCTTATAGGAGTTTGGTCAAATATCATCTTACTGAGGGTGTTCCTAACCATCCTATTTTACATCACAACTCTATCCAGCCATCCTAGCTCTTTCCTGATTTTTTTTCATAGCATTAAACACTATACATGCTGTGTATTTTACTTATTTTAAAAAATTTAGTCAGCGTCATACTCCAGTTTTTTAAAAAGTGACATTTCCACTGGGTCTTAGAAGATGAGAAAGAATTTTTCAGGTAAAGAACATTAAGTTCCATGAGGGTAGGAATGTTTGTCAGTTTTGTTCACAGCTATTTCCTGAGTAGCTAAAATACTGCACATAGCACATGTCAGATCCTCAGTAATCACAAAGTGAATTAATATAGGAAATGTGGTTAATAACCACATGAACATTAAAAATTTTGTGTTACCAAAATATTCAAACACCAAAGAGTTGGTATTAGGTCCTCTCTCTCCCCTGGTACTGCTGACTGACAGAAGGTTGGTCATCTCACCTAGGATACTCAAGTGCATGAGAGAAAGAGAAGCAAAGGAGGTCAGGGATTTAGCTCAGTGGTTCCGCTGCCTCCCTAGCAAGCACAAGGTCCCAAGTTCGATTCCCAGTACCAAAAAAAAAAGGAAAAAGAAAGAGAAACAAAGGGCACTAGGGCACTGCAATGAATAGTTGGGCTGCACTCGTCTGGTCAAATGCTGAGCTTGACAGTGAGTACAAAGAGGGCTCAAGTTTAATCCCTGCAATGACGGGTATGTTTCACATTAGATCACAGGTTGCTTTTGACTTGTTTCTAACTGGACCACATCAAAGAGTCTTGCTTACTCCTGAGATCCCAGAACAGCCACAAAAGCCTATTAGTCATAGCAAGCACTCAAAGAGGAAGGATGACAGACTTTTGAAATTTAAATGAAAACTCAGGCCTTCCAACGTGGTGTTTCCTAATGATAAATGACATCAAGTTACCTAAAAGGTTATAACTTTAACCCCCTGGAAAATAATGAGGCTCAGCAGAAAAGTTAAATCCAGGGTTTTGGGTCCAGTGATTCAAAGTCTCCTAATTTGAATTCAGTGGCAAAAGATACTGCTCCTGGGCCAGGGATTTAGCTCAGTGGTTCCGCCACCTGCCTCACAACCACAAGGTCCCAAGTTCAATCTCCAGTACGAAAAAAAAAAAAGATACTGCTCTTTCAAGACCTTCTGTCAGTCAGCAGAGACTGCTCCACACCTCTTTTCCTAGCCTAAGAACACCACCTCGTGTCCATGAGACAGAGAGCAAAACTGTGCCCGGAATTTCTGGGGTCCTAGAAACCAAAATGCTTTGGGAAAAAAGCCTGGTTCAACCCTTCGTTTGGCCTACCTGCATAGTTCTGCTGCCTCAGAGGGCAGAGGATCCCCTTAAATAGTCAGGAAGGTGAGAAAGCAACAGTAAACAGAAAGCTAGCAGGGACTTACCAGACACTCAGCACAGCGGACACAAAGCCTTGCCATGCACTCATCTTTTTCCTCCTGGTCAGTGCTGTGGAAAGAGCACAAACCAAAAAAAAAAAAAAAAAAAGAAAGAGCACAAACCAAATATCAGATGTCACTAACCTTAGTACAGAGCAGTGGTGGCGAACAAACAGCACGTGTGCCATAGCAGCCTATTTGTTATCATTGAAAGCTCTAAAAAGTTCGCCATCACTGGTATAGAGGAACAGACCTGAATTCTAAATTCAGGTCTTGAAATCACACTAGTCTGGTTATAGATCCCAGTTCTGCCACTTACTACCTGGGTTACTGGTCAAACTTAACTGCAGGAGACAATTTCCCCGTCTATAAAATGTAGACACTATCATGTACCCTTAAAGCACAGTTGTCAGGAGTAAGTATAAAAATAAATACATGTGAAACATGCACCACAGAGCCCAGCACATAGTAAGTGTTCAATAAATAGCTGCTGGGCACGACCATTCATTCACTCAGAAAAGGACTGAGCATCCACACCATCTGAGGCATCATGATAGGCTGGAGATAAAAAAATACAGAAAAACTGGTCCTGTGGAGAGCTCACAATCTCATGGGGAAGAGAGATCTGTTATAAACTTAACAAGTATGTTATAACTCACTGTGATCAATGTTTCAATAGAGTCAAGATGAAACTGCTGTGGCAGCAAAAGGGAAGAAGTGACTGATTCTCTCTTCAGGACACAGGAAGAGTTAGGAGAAAGGATATTCAGCTGGGGTTGGAGGGTAACAGCGTCCAGACAAGCAAGAGAAGGAAGGAGAGCAAGACAAAGCACCTGGGAAAAATATCTATCTATCCATCTAGCTAGCTATGTGAAATACCTGAATGAGTGTAATATGCCAAGTGGGGAAAGATAAGCTCCCTATAGCTGGAAATGGGGGCAAACGAGAAGAAAAGGCAGAAAACAATGTAACTTAGGGTCAGGACATAAAGGGTTTTGTATACCATGCTTAGAAATAGACATTGGTATTTTTGCCAATAGTTATTCACTTTTTTAGAGCCATAAATGCCTTGTAAAAGTCACTCTCACCATTAAATAGATGCACATACATAAGACAAAATGAAAATTTTGGACCCTATCAAAGTAAGACTCTTCCTCACAGGTTAAGAACCCCTGATTCAGACAATAAAGAACTTGAAGGAGCCAGGAATTTAGCTCAGTGGTGCTGTGCCTGCCTCGCAAGCGCAAGGTCCTGAGTTTGATCCCTGGCATGGCAAAAAAAAAAAAAAAAAAAAAAAAACTTGTAGGATTTTTATTTTCTTGAGACAAGGTCTCACTATGTAGCCCAGGCTGGCCTCGAACTCACAGAGATCCTCCTGCCTCTTCAGCCTCCCGAGTGCTGAGATTATAAGCATGCATCACCATGCCCAGCTACTTAGAGGATTTTTAACACAGATTTTTGTTACTCCTTTCTTTTTTTAGGTAGATTTCATTTTAGGGAAAAAAATTGATTGTGTTTAATAAATGTTATTGGGGTTTTTTTGGTTTTTTTTTTTAGTTTTTTGAGACAGGGTCTCGCTGTGTAGTTCAGGCTGCCCTTGAACTCACTCTATAGTCCAGGCTGCCCTTGAATTCTCGGCAACCCTTCCTTTGCCTCCTGAGTGCTGGGATTACAGGTGTGCATCACCACACTCAGCTAACAAATGCTTTTGATAATCACAATGCACGTATCCCCTTCACAGCATCTGCCGACCAAGAAGGGCAAAAGAAGGGAGAAGAGAAGCCGAGTACGGTGGCACACACCTGTTATCACAGCTACTCAGGAGGCTGAAGCAGAAGGATCACAAGTTCAAGTTCAGCCTAGGCAACTTAGCAAGACCCTGTCTCAAAATAAAATATAAAGAGCTGAAGATGTGGCTCAGTGGTAGAGCACTTGCCTAGCATGTAGGTATAATCCCTGGTACTGCCAGAAAAAAGGAGAAGGGAAAGGGGAAACCTTGAACATTTCCCCTAATATTCCTCAGCAGAACTACTCTCTATTCAAAAGGAAATTTTACCAACAGAACTAAACAACCTGAAGAAAAAAAAGTGTGTGAATGGGCCAGGGATTTAGCTCAGTGGTTTTGCTGCCTGCTGCGCAAGGGCAAGGACCTGAGTTCAATTCCCAGTACCAAAAAAAAAAGGGTGCGTGGATATACATCTAGGCGCCACCTCCAAAGTAGGGCTGAAAAGGAAATGGGCCAACTGCTCTGGGCTGCAGGGAGACATACTCATCTGAAACTTCAATAGACGATTTCTTATAGCCAGATTTGCTCCTCTTCTTGAGCCCTGCAGCCTTCCGCCCCATTCTCAGCAGCAGTAGAATCACCACCACCGCCGAGGGAATGAACACGAGAATGGAAAGCAAGGCCACAGAGGACAGCATGGTGCCAAAACCTGAGGGGAGAAGAGAGAAGTGTGTGTACAGGTGCTCCTTCTGACATGAGATAGGCTCTACTTTCGCTCATGTAGTTCTGCTTACAAAAGGGATAAATTCATTACAGAAAAGGTAGGAGATAAACAAAAGTAAAATAAAGAATAAAAATGTACCCATAACTCTACTACCTAGGAAAAACACATAGGTATTTAACACTTCAATCTTTCTTTAAGGGGTATGGCATACATATGAGGGTGCATATGAGGGTGGGGTGTATATTCTTAGAAATATAAATCATATTTTACATAGTGTTTTAACATATTTTACTTAATGTATGGTATATACGTTTAAATTTTGTTTTGGTTTGGTTGTTTTGTTTTGTGGTACTGGGAATTAAACCTAGGACCTTCACACTGAGCTACATACCCAGTCCTTTTCTTATTTTTTATTTTGAAGCAGGGTCTAAATTGCCATGCTAAGACTCAAACTTTTATTTATTTATTTACTTATTTATTTTTCTTTGGTTTTTTAGACAGGGTCTCCTGTAGTTCAAGCTGGCCTTGAACTCAGAGCAATCTTCCTGCCTCAGTCTGAGGCCTGGGATTACAGATGTGTGCCACCATACCCGGCTGTAGGACTCAAACTTTTGTCAGGCCTGTTGGTGCACTCCTGTAATCCCAGCACTCAAGATGCTGAGGCAGGAGGATTGCTGCAAGTTCCAGGCCAGCCTGGGCTACACTGTGAGTTTAAGGCCAGCTTGAACTACATAGCAAGACCCTGTTTCAAAAAAAAAAAAAAATCAAACTTTTGATACCCTTGCCTTAGCCTCCCAAAGCACTGGGATTACAGGCATGCACATATATCCAGTGATAAATATGTTTTCATGTAACTAAAAATTCCTTCTGGATGTGATGTTTAATGTGTATGGTATTATACTACATTGAATAATTCATTGAGTCAATTATCTAATGGTGGACATTGAAGTTATTCCAAATTCTTTGAATCTGCAAGTCACATTAGGATAACCAAACTAACACATAAATCTTCATGTTTAGCTCTACTTCCTTAAGATAAAATTTTAGAATGGAATGATGGGATCAAAGGAAATACTTCTAAGAAATCTGATCTCTACTACCAAATTGCCTTCTAGAAAAACATCACCAATTTCTATTCTTTCCAGCAGTATGAATGTGTCCATGCTTCAAAATCTATTAATGACTGTCAAAGATGACAAAGACAAAGATAATAAAGAAAAAGGAGGAGAAGAAGGAATAAAAGAGGGAAGGAAGAAAGGAAGATAAGAAGGGAAGAAAGACCTGAGAAATGATAAAGCAACTATCTCTATGTCTCTGGTCAACTGTATCTTATTTTTAAGTCTCTAGTTGAAATCCAGTTAAGAACTAGAATGACCACTTAATAGTCACAAGAGAAAAATGTAGAAAACAAGGTCAGTCCTTAACTTCCTCTCCACTTGTTTCATGCTAAAAAGTAGCTGCTATTTTTTGCAGCATAAAAGTAATGTATTACCTCCCATCATTAGAGGGAGTGCCCTTTCAAGACATGGGCAAGAATACTGTCTCATTACTGGGAGTATGAATACATTAGGGAAACCAGAATGACTTCTATTTCACATAGGTAATAACCCTCCATTTACTTCATACATTACACAAGACCTTTGGTCACCTGAAGTTAAAATGAAAAAGAGGGCCGGGGATTTAGCTCAGTGCTTCTGGCGCCTGCCTCACAAGGGCAAGGTCCCGAGTTCGGTCCCCAGTACAAAAAGAAAAAGAAAAAAAGATAATGGGGAAACTATGCCAATATTTGAAGAGAAAATTCAGTTTTCAAAATAAAGATCAAAAATTCAACTCAACAGACTTACTGGGATAGAAAAAAAATAGCCATTTTGACACAATGATCCAACGATCCAATTGGCTTACCCAGATAATTGGCCTCACTTATTAGCGAGTACTCCAGAAAGCACCAGAGTAGTGACAGAGCCCCGCAGAAGAAGGTTGGTGGCAATCAGCTTACCTCTTTCTGTTACTGTTAGCTCTGTCAGGGGAATATTATGGTGCACATCTGGGGGATTCTTCACAGCACAGCTGAATGTCCCATTGTCCTTTAGAGTAGGGTTGCTTATGCTTATGGATGCATCCCCTTTGTATACATTGCCAGCCCAGGAAATCCGATCCCGAAATGTGCCTGCTGTGGTTGGGTACTGGAAAGACTGATAATGAAAAATCTAAAAAGCAACACCATGAAAGAAAGAGTTAATTTGGAAAGTGAACTGAAAATGTAGAGCTAAGCAGGTCCAAAGGAAAATACAACTGTATAATGGGTTTTTCAGTTGGCAATTTTTAAATGCTTTTTTCACCTCCATCATAAAAAGAAAAGTTAATAAAACTGATTAGAAAAAGGACTGTTGAGAATTCTCAGGCCCTAACCCTTGAATCTCTTCTAAATTCTCTGTAAAATCTAAAGTAATACCCTTCAATCAGGGGCAATTTCACTCTCTATAAAACACTTGGTAATATCTGGAGATCTTTTTTTAAATTTTTTTATTTTTTGGTTTTTTGAGGCAGGGTCTTGCTATGTAGTTCAGGATGGCCCTGAACTCACTTTGTAGCCCAGGCTGGCCTCAAACTCTTGGTGATCCTCCTGCCTCAGCCTCCCGAATGCTGGGATTACAGGCATGCGCCACCACACCGGCTTGGAGATCTTTTTTAAATTTTATTTATTTTTAATTGACAAATAAAAATTGTATATATTTATGGGGTAAAATGTGATTTTTATTTTCATTGTGGGGAATTGAAACCAGGCCTTCATACATACTAAGCTCTACCACTGTGCTTTCAAATTTCTGAGGAAGCTCCATACTACTTTCCAAAATGGCTGTACTAGTTTATATTCCCACCAACAGTGTATGAGGGTTCCCTTTTCCCCAATCTTTGTCAACATTGTTATCATTTGTCTTTTTTATAATAGTCATTCTAAAAGGTATGAAGTTGTTTCTCATTTGGTTTTAATTTGTATTTCCTTGATAAGTAGAGATGTTTAGCATTTTTCATACATCTATTAGCTATTAATGTCTCTTGTTTTGAGAAACACCTATTCAGAGCCTTTGCCCATTTTTAAATCAATTTCCTTGTTCGTTTGTCTGTTTCAGTGCTGGGTACTGAACTCAGGTCCTCAAACATACTAGGCAAGAGCTATACCACTAAGCTACCCACAAGCCCCTGGTTACTTGTTTCTCTGCTACTGAGTAGGAGACAGTTTTGGCCGTCACAACAGGGAGAGGAGCTACTGTTATCCAGTGGGTAGAGGCCAGAGATACTGCTAAACTTCCTGTAATGAACAGGGAAGCCCCCACAACAGAGAATTAACCTGCTCGCAGTGTCAACAAGTTGAAATACATTGCTCTAAATATCTAAGGGCCAGGGATTTAGCTCAATGGTGCCGTCCCTGCCTCACAAGCACAAGGTCCTGAGTTCAATCTCTGGTACTGGAAAATAAATGAATAAATAAAATAAAATCTAATATTTATGTAGTACTTTAGTTTGCAAATGACTTCTTCACATTTACTCAATAGAAGCTCATAACAACACTAAACTATATGAGGCAAGTATAATTATCCCAAATTTATAAAAAGGGAAATAAGACCAAAATCAAAAAACTATAGGGCCGGGGATTTAGCTCAGTGGTTTCGCCGCCTGCTGCACAAGCGCGAGGACCCAAGTTCAATCCCCAGTACCAAAACAAAAAAACTATGTGAGTTACTCAAAGACAAAAATTAGCATTAAAAAAAAGGGAGATTTCTGCTTATTCTCAAAATCACTGGGAGGATGTAATACAATCCAGTATCTCTCGAGTTATCTACCTTGGCAATTAATATAAATCCAATTCAAATGTATGATAAGCACTCAATGAATGTATGTTGAATTTTTTAAAATGCTATGTTGGATTTGGTGACTGGATACCTCATCACCAAAAGCACCTAATGACACCTGAAGGTGAGCCAGGCAGGTGCTACAAAACAATATAAGTTTTTTCTCTTATGTAAAATGTAAGGCTTTCCTCTTTCTTTGTTTGCTTAATACCATCCCACTTAGCAAATCATGCATTTGTAACCACTGAATTACCCAATTTTGCATTGTAATTTCCCAGAGAAGATGATGAATCATTTATTAGTTCATTGTTAAAATATTTAGTACACAACAACTATATTCTAGGCAGAATGGTGAGTAAAAAGATATAGAGGGAACCACACATAGTCCCTACTCTCATGAAACTTATATTCTTCTTATTATTAAGAAATAATATGCATAATGAGTGCTCCAAGAAGGAAAAGAAGGCCTACCACTGATTATCAGCATCAGGGTAAAAGGGATTTGCCAGGTGTGAAGGTACATGCCTATAATTTTAGCACTCTGGGTGCTGAGGAGGAGGGTCACAAGTTGGAGCCTAGCCAAAGCAACTTAGTGACTTAGCAAGACCATGTCTCAAAATTTTAAAGAATTAAAATAAAAAGGACTAGGGATGTAGCTCTGTGCAGAGACCCTGGGTTCAACCCTTAGTCCCACCCAAAATTAATTAATTAATTAATTAAAAGTGTTTGAAACTCCTTATTGACAAAAATTAATTAGTTAAAAGTGTTTGAAATTCTTATAGACAAAACATGGCCTGCTGTGTACCTTCAAGGTTAATCTAACCTATAAGTTCCATGTTAAATCAGTGATACTGAAACCCTTGCTAACTGATTAACCTGATAGAATCCTGACTAACCATGTAACTGCATCATTACAGTGTGTGACCTTAAGGGTCCAGTAATTCCAGCTTGGGTAAGTTTGCTGATGTTCTGACCAGCCTCACAGAAAACAATACTATAGGAGAACTGCTGTTAGGGGCCGGGGATTTAGCTCACTGGTTCCAGCACCTGCCTCCCAAGCCCAAGGTTCCAAGTTCGATCCCCGGTACCAAAACACAAAACAAAACAAAAAACAAGCAAACAAGCGAACTGCTGTTAGTGTATAATGTTTCTGACCCAAGAAGCTCCCCCATTGCTTGCTCTGCCCTACTTTTGGACAGGAGGTAGAGCCAAATAAGGCCAACCATAGATTCCTGACTACTCAGAATAAAGTGAACTATTTTTAAGTCTAAAGAAAAAGGAACTATGACTATAGCATACCTTCCTTCACTAGAGTCACCTACCTAGATCCAAGCTACATAGTCTTCAGTAATAGCTCCTAAAATAGAATTCAAAGCTTACGTGTTGACATGAAGGGAAAGTTTCTCCAATAAGAAAAACAGAATAAGTAAATTAAGAATACTTTGAAAAATCCAATCAGACGTGTGGTTATGACATTCACATTCTTGAGTAGCATGCATTCTGAGCTAAGGATACTGATGGAACTATAAAAAGAAAGAGGTTTGTTTTAGCACTGTAATCTTCAATTAGATGCCAACAATGGCATTTGAACCATAAATGTGTTTTATATGTGTGACTAAAGTATACTGCTTCTAATATTACAAGACCATCTATCACTAACAACTTCTGTCACCAACACAAAGTCCCACCATTTCCTTCAAAGGCAGCTATATAAATCACTGCAGGTGTTTGTATGCTAGGAGGAAAAGCCAAGATAAATCTACAGACCACAGATATGCAAACAGATACACACCCATTGAGACAACTACACTCAACAGGAAATAAGCAGCTCTAAGAGAAAGGATGTCTGTGACTGAGACCTGATGAATTTTTCTAGCCAATAGTTCTGCAGGTAACCTTTTTAATATATCAAATCTAAAGATGAAACTATAATATCATCCAAAAAAAGAAACAACAAAAAAAAGGAACAAAATTAAACCATATTTTCTCTTGGTTTCTGACAATTTTTTCTTACAGGATATGTGCAAAATTCTTAGGTGGAAAAATAAAAAGTCCTACATGATCAAATGAGTGACACAGAAGGCAGAAGCTCACCTCTTTCCATTTACATAAAAGTTCATTTTCTGTTCTGAGAGGGCCTTGTGTGTGCATGTGACTTGCAATTAAAGGATTCAAAAACTGCTAACCCAAAAGACTCAAGGAAATTTTTTAATACTTTTTTTAAAGTGTAAATGATTTTTAAAATAAATTTTATTTTATTTTATTCTCTCCTCCCAACCACCCCCCCACCATGTACAAAAGCTTTGCTTCAAGGAAACTTTTTTGAAAAGAGCACACTTACAGATTCTGTGCGACTGCTGCTGGGAGGGCGATACGTCCAGTCTATGGTCAGTTTGTCGGTGACATGAGAAGTTGACTTGAACATGCATCTCAGCTTGATCTTTTCTCCTACGTAACCTCGGACATGAGTGTCTGCATTAATCTCCAAGGAAATGACAATGTGAACACCTAATCAAAGCAGAAGCAAATACTTAAATGTATTTCTTTTCATGGAACATACAGATATGAGTGAACAACACAGGCATGCCACTTATCATTTTTAGCGGTCTCATCAAAAAGCCGGAGCAATCAATACCTTCCCAGGCAAGTCCACAAGGGACAAGGAGCCAGTATCTGCATCAATCTAGGAGAGCATTTATCATTTTACAATCTTAAATCATAGATAGAACACTTGGGTAAAAATTTAAAACCTGGTCACACCAGCATTTTTCCAAACACAGGATTGTGGCCAAATTAAGTACAAACAAGCAGGGCAACCCACAGCAAACTAAAAGGCAGCACCACCACCAGCTCTGAATCTCCCTGCACACCCCAGCCCCCAAACACACACACTTGCTCCAGGAACACAGCAGCTTGCATGGGGTCAGAGGGACTTACCCCAAGTACAACGTGATTGCAGCATGAAACTACCACTGCCTCAAGCACCAGCAAGATAAGAACGGGGAATAAAAATAAGAAAGTAATTTAACAGTTTGGTCTTGTTTTTGTTTTTGATTTACTGCCACAATGTTCTATTTAGTTTCCCTCCTATTTTTTCCCTCTTATTTCTTAAAGTTGGTAATGAATCATACTAAAAGTAAATTATGGGGCCGGGGATTTAGCTCAGTGGTTTCACCGCCTGCTGCACAAGTGCAAGGACCCGAGTTCAATCACCAGTACCAAAAAAAAAAAAAAAAGCTAAAAGATGAAACAAAGTGCTAAGCAGCAGATGAATGGAATAAACAAAATGTGATGTATCCAGCATGGAATATTATT